AAATAACAAGCTTAATATCAATGAGGCTAGACTAGGTAATAATGTAATGATAATGCATGCAGGTAGGTCCCTCGTTACTCACTAGTAAGATTGTTGTCTCATTATTAAAACCTTGAATGGAAAATTGGACTTCTTTTTCTCAAAGTTTTTCTCGCCGTATTTTACTAACTGACTCACCAGTGCCAACGGCATTCAGGGGCCGGGAAGATTCCACCCCTAGAGGATGCAGCTCACCAACTGATTGTCCCAGCCATCATCCAACTACTGCACACAGAAAATGCATTGCATGTCTGCTTTTTTTAGCTCAGTTAGCTGGGCAGTTGGTTTGTGAAGCAGTGTGATACCAAAAGCATGTGTTCAATTCTCATCACCAGCTGAGGAAGAAGTCTCCTCTTACCCCTTTCCTGAGGCATGGTGGCCCTCAGGTTAAATCACCACCTGTTGCCTCTCTCTAATGAGAGAGCAGCCCTATGGTGTTACTGTGGTGACACAATATCTTAGTGTTCATTCATTTTGTGCTTACTTGGAAGTTGTGGTTTACATTGCATTTCAGCTCAGTTATAGATTACCAGCTCCTGTTACTTACAGTGATTTTTTGTAGTTCAGAATTAGCGACAATTAGTTGGTCACTGAACAATCCAGGGGTGGATTGTACCATGCTACATCAATGCAGACTAGTAGGATGTGCCAGCATCTTATGAAGCAAACACATTACTTGGGTTTCAACCAAATGGGCATGACTAACAGTTTAAAGGGGGGGCAATTCTTAGTGGGATCAAGAGGGTCTTCAATTGGTCACAAGGTACTTTTACACTTTGTTAAGGGCACATCCCAATTCAAGACCAGGGATTTGGCAATAATCATTCAGGTGCTTGTTCTGACCAGAGTCCCAGGATCCATATCCTCGCTTTCAGGCCACAGCCAATCCTGCAGGTCAAATACAAATTGTCTGGGGATTACAGGTTCATCTGTCGGGATGCAATGGAGAGAGACATCAGTCCAATGGGATGGATAATTTTTCAAGGAGGGATTGCAGTAAGAGGGAAGTTGATGGAAGAGCTATCATTGGTGATGCTGAGGCAAGAGAGGGAGTAAAGGATGAATAGAAAAATAGAATGTCATTGAACTTTCTTTCATTTCTTGTGGGATATGGGAATCACTAGCAAGGCCAGAGTTTGTTATCTATCCTTAATTATCCTCAACAAAGTGATGACGAACTGCCTTCTTGAACTGTGGCAGTCCATCTGGTATGGTATGTGTGGAGTGTTGTTAGGAAGGGAGGTCCAGGATGTTGATCCAGCAACAGTGAAGAAATGATAATACAGTTTCATGTCAGGACTGTGTATGTGTGTTTCACAGGAGATTTTACAGGTTGTGGTATTTCTATGGCTCTGCTGGCCTTTTCCTTCTACGTGATCAATGTTTGGATTTGAAAGTTTGGAAGATCATGTCACATAAAGCTCAAACAGTTTCTGCAGTACATCTTTTATATGGTGTACTCTGCTTTAACTGTGTGGAAGAGTGAATGTTTAACTTAGTGTATGGGATGACAATGGTTAATGTCAATAAGACAATCATTGGTTATACATAAAAGGACTTCCATCCAAGAAGCATCAAGGTAGGGGATGGTACTGTTTCTGTGCATCTTTCTGACTGACTTCGATCAGCTTGTACTTTTGTAATGTTTTTGCTGTTGGAAAAATAAAATGGCCAAATGGCTTTAGACCTAGGAATATGGAATATGGAAATTGAAGCAGTAAAGTAGTAATCAGAAGATGAGATGTCTAAATTTACTTGAGAACTGGGAAAGTGTATTTCAAGGATCTTGGATGGAGTAATAGTGAGGTTTAAAGAGGGAAGTCCTGGGGGCTAACTGCATGATTGCCGATCAGGGTACAGTGAACAGCATTCATGAGAAGATAAAGTGAGAGGTCAGAAAGTTTGGGATGAGTTATGGAGAAGGAAAGGGAGACTATAGAAAAAGAGTGGTCAAGTCATTTTATGGGCTTAAGGTCAGGGCAAAGACTTTAACTTTGAAGTGTTTGGAGATAAGAAGACAATAAAGGTGAGCTGGCACTTAGGGAATGGACACCGTAAAAGGGCTGTAGAAAACCTCAGAAAAGTGTCTTAGGAGATGCACCTATTGTTATTCAGCAGGGCAATAGCATTTTTGCATTCTTCCAACCACTTTATTAGAGTCATCTTGCCATGATAGTGATAAAAATCTGGCCTATTGATTTTCAAACTCCACCATCTAATTTTTATGCCTAAAACTTTCATATGATTTCAAAAAGGAAAAACACTGACTTCAATTTGGTTGCAGCAACCATATAAGTATTGTTTGAACTGAGCTTCATGAAAGCATCAATAAATAGGAACCCGTCTTATCTGAAAATAGCATATTTATGATAAGATGTTGAAACTATTCAGGTTTCAAAGCAAATGGGAGAAACATCCAAACAACATTAAGAATGTAAAAGATTCCTGCAAATTTCATGACTGCCATCGTTCTAAAACATCCCTAATCAACTGTATTGTCAGAATAAAACCTAAAACTTTAAGAACATGCCAAAGACTTTAAACTGTAGTTTCTTTTATCTTATTTTGGTACATGACACTATCACCCATTTAACTTTGTATCATGTTTGTATATGTGCATGTAAGTCATATTTTCTTCCACAGAATTAACAAGTAATAAAATTCTTCTTCCTTTCACTCAAGAAAACCTTGCATTTGGCTTTTTTTTATGGTGAACTAGTTAACTACATTTCCAATGGAATGTGGGATAGCTCATACTCAAAGAAAATAAGATCTTTATTGCAGTCAGCCAAGGAGGTTGAACAGAGGGCAGCCAATACACCCTTCCTCATCTGATCATTATATTTAATGTGTCACATAACTAGTCAGACCACATTGCTCTGATCAATGGTGAGATGCTGCAGTCTATAGCCAGGGCCTCAAGGCTTAGAGCTGTGCAACATAAAGAGTCATTGAGTCATACAGCACAGAAACAGACCCTTCGGCCCTTTCCTAAATTGAACTGGTCCCATTTGCCTGCGTTTGGCCCATATCCTTCTAAACCTTTCTGCTCCACGTACCTGTCTAAATGTATTTTAAATGCTGTAATTGTACTTGCATCTACCACATCCTCTGGCAGCTTGTTCCATATACGCACCACCCTCTGTGTGAAAAAGTTGCTCCTCAGGTCCCTTTTAAATCTTTACCCTCTCATTTTAAACCTATGCCCTCTAGTTTTGGACTCCACTTTCCTGAGGAAAAGATCTTGGCTATTCATCTTTTCTATGCCCCTCATGATTTTATTACCTTCTATAAGGTCACCCCCTTGGCCTCCTATGCACCAGTCCCAGCTTATCCAGCCTCTCCTTATAACTCAAACCTTCTAATCTCAGTAACATCCGTGTATATCTTTTTTGCACCCTCTCCAGTTTAATAGCATCTTTCCTACAGCAGGGTGGCCAGAATTGTTAGCAGCACTCCAGATGTGGCCTTACCAATGTCCTGTACAGCCGTAACATGCCGTTCCAACTCCTGTACTCAATACGCTGACCGATGAAGGCAAGAATGCCAAATGCCTTCTTCACCACCCTGTCTACCAGTGACACCACTTTTAAGGAACAATGTACCTGCACCCCTCAGTCTCTTTGTTTGAAAAGACACCCCAGGGCACTACCATTAAATGTGTAAATCCTGCCCTGGTTTGTCTTACCTCACATTTATCTAAACTAAACTCCATCTGCCATTCCTCGGCCCACTGGCCAGCTGATCAAGATCCTGTTTTACTCTTAGATAACCTTCTTCACTGTCCAATATACCACCTATGTGGTGTCATACGTAAAGTTACTAACCATGCCTCCCATATTCTCATCTAAATCGTTTATATAAATGATGAACAATAGTGGACCCAGCACCAATCCTTGTGGTACACCACTGGTCACAGACGACCTTCTACCACCTCCCCTCTGTTTCCTACTGTCGAGCCAATTTTGTATCCATAACTCCTGGAAACACTTTAAATGTCCTCAATGGAATTACAAAAGCCTCCACCTCCCAATCTGTAGACATTTTGTCTGTACCAAAAGGAAAAAGAAAACTAAGGTTGGAAAATGAGAAGGTAAAAGTGGAACTCAACAGAATCCCAATTCAGCCATTGAAAGGTTAAACAAATATAGAAAGCATTGCACAAGTGAAATTTCTTGTTCTGAATTAATTGTTAATGTTCACATTTTTAATCAAGAGAATGCAAGACTCAATAAATTAGAATACATAAGGATTGCTAAATGGTGGTTATCTAGGTGCCAGAACATTTGGTGTTTTTATGTAAGGACAACTGGTTCAGCTGAAGGTCTCATGCGTCAGTTGTTTTGTAAGAGCTCCAGCAGCTACAGACTCAACGGGTTGAGCTGCTCTTTCATTTCACTATGTGCAAATGGCAGAAAGGACTGGTTGCTCCAAGATGTATTTCAGAGATTCTCTCAAACAGTTGAGTCAGTGGAAGTGTTTCTTCATGATCTCCTCAATGAGACTTATTTTGGCCACATATCTCTCATCATAGGCACACTCTGTGTCTGTTGGGGTGCCTTCAAAGATCCTCCAAATCTGATGGCAAGTAGGACAGACCAAGAGCAGTGTTCTCTCCCAAGCCAACATTACTCAAAACCAGCTCTGATGGCAGTACATGCTCTTTGTATTCCTGACATGTGACTCCTGAAGTCACTGGTCTAATTCAAATTTGGTTGTGGGGTGCAGATTCCTAGCCAGAAAATGGAAATGCCTTCAGGGTGTTTCTAAGCATCCCAGAGACTTTAAATGTCTCTGGCTTGTGACCAAACAAAACAAAATTCATTGGGAAAACACTAAACACATCAAAATACTTTGTCACAAACATGCAGAGGTGAAAAGGAGGCAATGTACAACAGCCACAAACCTCCCAACAATTCACGTAAGCCAGTCTCCTTTATGTGGCAGATTATAGATTGCACCTTGGGTTTATCAGCTAACTCAAATGCTTTTTTTTACCAGAGTCCAAGCAAGACATCCTCAATCCCAGGGGATTACCTGTAAAGAAAGGAAGTATAGGGGGTAAGGGGGGCTTTGAATCTTTGAAAAACTGCATTTATCCTTCAGGATTGACCTGCTCATCTAAGTTTCTCAGCTGGGCCTTCAAGCCAGGTGAAATAACTTTCCCCAGTTCCCAGGTTAATCCTCTTCCCATCAAGCCTGCTAAACTTTAGAGGCATCAATATGCTCACCTGTGAATGCAAATACACCTTTGTAGTCTCAGAGTGAAAATCAGCTTTGATGTTTTTACCATTGTAAAAAATAAATTATAAATGCTAAATTCTAAATGGCTTTTGTCTGCATTATTAATTTTATTGCCAATTATTGTCTTTCAACTTGTGATTTAATTATTTCTTTCATTTTGTTTGGTGGTTATAAAAATGATAAAATCCAGTTTCAAATGCACAAATGTCACCTCAAAGATCTTTCTATATTCCTTTCCTCATCTCCTTCATTTCCTCTTCTCCTCACCTACACTGTGATGCCCCCATTGGAAAATAATATGGTGGTCCCTTGTCTGATCATATGTTTCTAGTATCCCCTAGGCTGGTGCTGATTTACGTTGTTAAATCACACCTAAGTAATAGATACATTCAGTTGGGTATAGCTGTCTTACAGCTGAACTGAAGACATTAACAGGAAATGCATTTTCTTACTCATGCACATACAGCACACAGCTCACGAGTGAACTATCAATGCACAAAGTAATCCCAAATGTTTAGAATTCACCCAGGAAAGAGAATTCTGGAGGCAATGCTTTAAGTTTTAAAAATAAACACAACACAGTTATTAAAAGAAGGGCCTAAAGGATACGTAAAACTTAAAGATGAAAGTTTGATGGAGATAGTAGGAACATGTGTGAACTGACAGTTACACATGGAGCCATATTTGTGAAATAGGCCAAAAACAATAACTTCTAACATTGCAGAAACAACAAAAAAAGGAAAAAAATAAGAAATATATTAACCAATGTGACTGTTCAAGAAAATGGCTGCATAAATATGCAAAATGTGTAGCATATAGAAGAAAAGTTGTCAAGTGAATTAACAATACATTACACGGGGTAATTAATTGTCATCACAGAATTTTTACAGCAGTGGCACTAACAAAGACAACCCACAGAGATAATACCAGTATCAAAAATACAAACAGCAAACGTGATTACACTGCTTTTCTTCTGTCCTGCATCCAAAATAATGCCCAAAAATTAAATGCGAACACTTGATTTTCATTTGGCTCCCAAACATGCATCAAGGTAAACATTGTACAACTGGAGGGAGCTCAAACATCGAGGAAGTTGGTCCCCTCCTGAGCCAAAGTCATATTTCTTCTCATTGAGCAAGAATTTCTGCTCCCTTAATAAAACAACAGCTCCACGCCATCTGAAAACATCAAGAAGCCTCTTTGTAAGACCAATACCTTTGTTCTAGAGGTACCTTCAATTTAAATGCCTACACTATTGGCCTTGTTCTACCAACAATTACTTGGCACATCATTGTCAATGTCTGATCAGCTCTGGATGAACAGGAGGATTATTACTTATTGAACTGTTACCATTCCAGCAATGACACAGCAACACCATCCCATTCACAAATTCATCCCATTTTACTCGAAACAACAACTACAGAAATAAACTTCCACTTACTTGTCCTGGTAAAGGCTGCTGCAATTTTTGTTTCTTCAAGTTCTTGCAACATTTAAGGTCCTTCAGGCTTTTTCAATCATTTTCCTAATCCATAAATTTGGCCTTCCTTTGGCAATATGTGATTGGAACTAGATTCTTGGCTTCAAATTTAATGCACTTTTTGTCACTTCATGAATTGATCATAATTATATGGTTCAATATAGTAGTGTACATTTATTAGAAATTATCAGCTAGCCATCACTTATGAGATCAGCATATAATTTGCACAATGCTTACAGAAGAGTGCATTGTAGATTAATTTTATAGGATCAGCTCTGAGTTGGGACCAACTCTTGAGAGCTTAGGTATGTTGACTAGTTACGAAGTCAGCTAGAAACCCTGTATTAATCAATTGGTGCTGCACTGGCTTGCATTATATCCTAACCTGTCTTTCAGCAAGGTTAACTTATATATTCCTACACTGTACTTCGCATTCTGTTTTTCTCGTAAGTGAAATAGTAGGTGAAGACAAGATGTAAGGGAGAGGGTATGAGAGGTCTGGTCCTTAGGGAAGAATCCTGAACTACTTGCTATGCTCCTGGCTGTGAATGGAGGCCACACAATATAAAACATTACAATTGACAATTGCCTCACAGCTGATTGACAGCAAATGTGAATAGAGCCAGTGAAAGTTACACAGTATCATGAGAACACATGAAGTAGGAGAAATAGACCATTCAGCCTTTAAAGCCTGCTCTGCCATTTAACACAATCGTGGTTCATCTGTTTGTGTTTCGAATTCCACATTCCCATCTACTGCGATAACCCTTGATTCCCCTGCCTAACAAAAATCCATCCACCTCTTTCTTAAAAGTGTAAAATAACCTCACCTAAGACCAATTCCTGAAGTGGAATTTCAAAGTCACACAACCTTCTTTGAAAAAATAAGTTCTCATCTTTGACCTGGAAAGGTGATGCCCAATTTTAAAATAGTATTTCCTAACTCTGAACTCATCCACAAAAGGAAACATCCTTTTCACACTTTGCAAGGATCATTCAGAATCTTATATACTTCAATCAAGTCACCTCTCATTTTTCTAGACTCCAGCGGAAATAAGCTTAGTCTGCCCAAGCTATCTTCATAAAAGTGCCTGCTCATTCCTGGTATCAATGCAGTAAACTTCTGCTGAACCACCCCCAATGTATTTACAATGCATCCCTCCTTAAATAAGGAGATCAAAAATGCACAATATTCAAGATATTGTGCTCCATCATTTTGCTTAGTAACATCTCCCTCATGTTTATAACTTTGCTAAATTCCTTTCTCCTTTCACCTCCTGACTTACAGCTGTTACTGAAATGTTTTTTTTCTATCCTGAACAGTGCCAATTGGTGTCACAATACAGCTTGGCAGGTTCAGCCTGGTCACCTTTTGGACTCCCCAGCTGCCAGCAAGATTAGTGTTAGCACAACACTATGTAGTCACAATCTTCTTGCTCAGACACCACTGTCGAGTTCCAATCCTGAATAGAAACTGATGAGTTACAGTGTTATTTGTATAATGAATACGATCTAAAAGATGAAATAGGTAGTTGCTTTGGGGATCCAGTCTAGGCCTCATAAGATGTAACTGCAGCTCCATTGTTGGTGAAATGCAGTGATAAAGCTCTCGGCCCCTTTTGATGCTGTTTCTGCCCCATTAGCATCATGTGGAACAAATTAAAATTAAAAACCACTTTGTAGAGAAGTACATGTTGCATGTTATTAACGAAACAACTGAAGATATTTGGGCTCAGGACACTGCACTGAGGAGGATTGGTAGCGACAACCTCAGGTTCTGATGATTGGTCTTCAACGATCACCTTATTTCATAGAATCCCTACGGTGTGGAAACAGGGCCTTCAGCCCAACAACTCCACACCAACTGTAGGAGCATCCCACCCTGACCCATCCCCGTATAACCCACCGAAGCGACACATCCCTGAACACTATGGGCAATTTAGCATGTCCAATCCACCTACCTGCACATCTTTGGACTGTGGGAGGAAACCGGAGCACCCAAAGGAAACCCATGCAGACACAGGGAGAATTTGCAAACTCCACACAGTCGCCTGAGGGTGAAATGGAATCCGCCTCCCTGGTGCTGTGAGGCAGCAGTGCTAACCACTGAGTCACTGTGCCGCCCCAAAGAATCATAGAATCCCTACAGTGTGGAAACAGGCCATTCGGCCCATCAAGTCCACACCACCCCTCTGAAGAGCACTCCCTAAACTAAACATCACTGGACGCTACGGGCAAGTTAGCAGTGGCCAATCCACTTACCCTGCACATCTCTGGACTGTGGGAGGAAACTGGAGCACCCAGAGGAAACCCACCCAGACACAGGGAGAATGTGCAAACTCCACACAGACAGTCACCCAAGGGTGGAATCGAAACTGGGTCCCTGGCTCTGTGAGGCAGCAGTGCTAATCACTGAGCCACCGTGCCGCCCCTTTAAAATACCTGAAGCGAAAATCATACCCCTAGACCAACGAGCCACCCCTGCTCTAATTGACCTTGCCCAAATCCCGCCTAGGGTACATCACAAGCAATTCTGCTAGCGGTGGGATTATAATGTTACTCCAGCCACCAGATAGTTTTCCACATGATCTCCATTGACTTCAGGTACATTAGGGACTCTGGAAATCATAATCATTTGAATGCAATTTTGACATCAAGGAAAGTCACTCTCAATTCATCTCTGGAACTCACACCTTATGTCCAAATTTGGATCAAGGTTATACAAAACGCCAGTACTGACCAATCCTTGCAGAACCCAAACTGTATGACTGAGCACATTGTTGATGACTAAATCAACTTTCTATTACCTACCAATGACTCAGTTGTAATACATTCACATGAGTCAGACAGCTATGTATTCAAATCCCATTCTGGACACTAGAATCTGTAATGTAAGCTGACAGGTAACTGCAGTATAGAGGAAGTGATACACTATCAGAAGTGACATTGATCAGAAAAACAAAGTCTCGTCTGGCTTCTCATAGCAATGTGATATAAGGAAATTCATGTCAATGATGATGAAGGTGTAACTGATCATATGACTGTGACATCAGTAACAGCAGAAGGCACCATGCCTGAATGAGTGGCGAGAGACACGTTATACACTTTGGGAAATGGTGACATAGTGGTAATGTCACAGAACGAGTAAAACGAAGCTAAAGGCTAATATCCTGGCGATATGAATTCGCATCCCACCAATGCAGATGATAAAAAATTGATTTCAATAAAATTCTGGAATTAAAAGCAACGATGTAA